TCTCCTCTTACGTCCCTTAAGGAGGTGTGATGGTTCCTTAAGGAGGTGTGATGTTCTGATTCCCATTTTATCAGTTTCACAAAAGCTGCTGCTGCCGTCAGCATAAGTGTTTGTTACCAGTTCAGAAGTGGAAATGAAATTCAATGTGCCTAGGGCTAGAACATTTGGGATGCAAATGACTACAATTCTTTCAGTGCTAATTTTGGAGATTAAAATAGGAGCAGGTGTGTTTAAACAGGGATTTCATTTGAAAAGCGTTATCGGGTTGGAAGGGAAGGCAAAGTTATCTGTTCAGAGCAACTATCACCAACAGTAGAAAACAGGTCAACAAAAGAGAATTAAATCACAACTGTGATGGAGTCTAGTAAATTTTATATATTATTTTTTGTTGTATAAGTTGTAATTTGAGGTCCATTGACACTCTTGTTATATAAGTTAAGACACTTCCCCCTATCACTTGTCTAGTGATAGAAACCTGTAGTTCTGATTTTAATTTTATTAAAATGTACAAATATTAAATACAAATAAGAAATACAAATAAAAAAACTATAAAAAGTTAAGAAATGAAGAAAAAAATAATAAAAAAATTAAAAAGTAGAGGAAACAGAAGCGAGAGAGAAAATATAACAATATATTTCTTCTTTCCTCCAGGCAAGTATAAATAATTTAGTTAACTTGACACCTTCTCTAGTATTATAATTTTTTAAAAAAATCTCTTCTTTCCATAATTTACCCTTTATTAATAGTCAAATTGCAGAAAGCACATAATTCAATCCCAATCAACAAAAGTCTATTAAGAGCTACCAGAAATAGGAACACATATTTTAATCTTGATCAAAAATTTCAATTTTATAATCCAAAACTTACCATTCTATCTAGAGATAAAGCAGAAAAAAATATTTCCCCATTTACAAATTGTATAGTCTTGCTATACAATATTGGTCTAAAAGAAATCCCATTAACAACTACCAGACACCATAACATATATCTTTTAATCATCAAATAGATTCAATTTATGCATTTTCTTTTCATTTTTTAAAAAAGCCTGATCTTAGTTCCATCAAGGGGTGTCCCAGAAATTGATTTCTTATCAGTTTCTCCTTGCCTCTTTCCCGGAGCCGATTAAACAGTTTCTCTTTGTCTCTTCTCACAAAGAGTTGACTTGGTTCCATACATTGCTTTTCTAAATATAACATAAGGTTTTCCAAGTCAATCTTCTGATTATCTTTATATGTCTCCTTTAATTATGAAAGCATCAACTGGTTTCATTTGTAAATCTATTTTGACACTGTTTTCCATAACACCCATATACTGGCATTTTAAAATCCTTTTTTGGATCTAACATGTCTTTTTCCATATCAGTTTATAAGTTTTCACTCTTGACACCAGAAATTTTTAAATTTTTAAATCTCAAATCAGTACTAGCATCAGTCTGTTTTATCCAATAAAACCTGTTGTTCTTCTATATCGTTTGCTATAGTACCACACTATCTTGTAGCAATAGCAATAACATTAGACTTATATACCACTTCAGAATGCTTTAGAGCAGGAGTCCCCAACCCCCAGCCCATGGCCCAGTACCAGTTCACGGTATGCCAGCAACAAACAAGCAAAGCCCCATCCGTGAGATGCAGGCAGCATACAAAACCACACACTCTCCGGTCCACAGAAAAACCTCTCTCCATGGAACTGGTCCCCGGTGCCCAAAAGGTTGGGGACTTCTGCTTTAGAACCCTCTCTAAGCGGTTTACAGAATCAGCATATTGCCCCCAACAACCTGGATCTTCATTTTACTGACCTCAGAAGGATGGAAGGCTGAGTCAACCTTGAGCCAGTGAGAATTGGAATTGCTGGAGGGAGCAGTGATTTAGCCTGCCAGATTGCGTTCTAACCATTGCACCAACATGGCTCTTAAATGTAAATAGCTTCTGCGTAAATTAGTGAATAAACAGGCCCACTTCTGGCCATGATTGCTGAAAACTGATGGCACAGCTTCTAACCATTCTCAGCAGAAACCAAGGAGGAATGTAATATAAGCCCTATGAATACAGGTAATCCTCAAGTTATGACTACAATTGAGCCCAAAATTTCTGTTGCTAAGGGAGACAGTTGTTAAGTGAGTTTTGCCCCATTTATGACCTTTCTTGCCACAATGGTTAAGTGAATCACTCAGTTGTTAAGTTAGTAACAGGGCTGTTACGTGAATCTGGCTTCCCCACTGACTTTGCTTGTCAAATGGTCGCAAAAGGTGATCACATGACCCTGGAACACTGTAACAGTCATAAATATTAAACAATTGCCAAGCATCCAAATTTTGATCGCATGACCATGGGGATGCTACAATGGTCATAAGTGTGAAAAACGGTTATAAGTCACTTTTTTCAGTGCCGTTGTAGCAATAGCAATAGCACTTAGACTTATATACTGCTTCACAATGCTTTACAAGCCCTCTCTAAGCAGTTTTTTTTTTACAGAGTCAACATATTGCCTCCAACATTCTGGGTCCTCATTTTACCGACCTCGGAAGGATGGAAGGCTGAGTCAACCTTGAACCAGTGAGACTTGAATTTCCAAACTGCTGGCATCTGGCAGTCAGCAGAAGTAGCCTGCAGTACAGCATACTATCCACTGCACCACCAGTAAGTTCAAATAGTCATTAAATGAATGGTTGTAAATCAAGGACTTCCTGTACAGCCAGTTTGGTATAGAGATTAAGGCAGTGGTTCTCAACCTTTTTAATGCCGCGACCCCCAACCGGTCGTAAGTCGAGGACTAAACCGGTCATAAGTCGAGGACTAAACCGGTCATAAGTCGAGGACTACGCAACCGGTCGTAAGTCGAGGACTTTCCCTGCCCGGGAGCGCTGTGCATGCGTGGTTCCGCCCCCTGCGCCGGCCGAGGCATAGCTGGCAAGCGGCAGAGACGGAGCAGGCCGACCACCAGCTGGCCCAGCTCAAGGGAGGTAAGGCACCCGCCGGAAAAGGGGAAAAAATGGCAGACAGCCTTGCTTGGCGACCCCCGTGAAATGGTCGATCGACCCCAAATGGGGTCCCGACCCATGGGTTGAGAACCACTGGATTAAGGCATCAGGCTAGAAGACAGGAGACTGTGAGTTATAATCCCCCCTTAGGCAGAAAGCCTGTTAGGTGACTTTGGCCAGCCACTTTCTATCATTCCTAGGAAGGAGGCAATGGGAAACCACTTCTGAAATCTTTGCCAAGAAAACTGCAGGGACTTGTCCAGTCACCAGGTGGCAAGATTTGATTCAAAGTCACTACAAACATACATACATTCCCATGCATATCATTATTGTAAAAGAAAGAACACAATTCTCCTCAGACTCCAGCCTTCCTCTGCCTACACGTACTGTATATTCTGTACTTTCAACCCTAAATATGTTATCATCCTTGGCTACAAAAAACTTGCTCAGGCCTGCTGCAGCAAGAGTTTGAAACCTAAAAACCAATGCTTTTCATTTCTCCCAGATACAAACCATGGTCTACATGACATTTTCTGCATGGCATGATATAGTTTCTTTGAGTCCAAACTGGCTTCTGAGTTTTTCTGAGTTTTTTTTTCCAGCTGAGGTTTCCAGACCAGATGCAAAGACAGATTCATGCAGAATGTATCCTAAGGTTATGCGGGTCATCCACAAATAACTGTTACTTCCAAAACATGTCAACAGAACTTTACAAATTTGGGCCATGCACCATTGAAGAAGAGAGAATCAAATTGCAAAAGGCCATGGCAATGCATGAGGTTTTCCTAATTCTTTTTATGACATTTGTGTGCCATAAAAGACACACATTAAAACTCTAAAAAAAAATAAAAATGGAGCAGGATTCCCTGAATGATAATTTCCATTGTTGTCCCATTGATATTCTTTCTCCAAATCAGGCATCTTAATACTAAGAATTCCAGGGTTATATGGCACTTTCACTGAAAGTTTAGTTCATATCTAAATCATATCATTTTTTGTCTGAAATGCATATATGCCTTAGATATATATAACTGTGTTAAAGATAACAGATTTCTAGACTTTTTGTATATGAAGAAAAACTACATAAAACTGCTACTTTTTAAATAAGGAATAGATAAGGTATTCTCATAGACAAAAAAGATACTTTATTGCTTCCATAGATGCCTAAGACAAAGTCATTCTGATTTAGAGACTTGTCTTAAGACATCACATCTAGCTAATGAGAAAATTTTCTGATACTTGAAAAACTGTAACTATCTAAGGTAACTCTTTAGAGCATAAGAGAATCAGTACTGCTGTGTGAAGCAGTGAGACTAATCATATTAACTGCATAATTTCATAATTAAATTTAAATCTAATTCAAATAAAATGAAATGAAATTTTGGCATTGCTCCACTGCTTCATTACTTTATTCTGATCAGATCTACTTTTAGAGTTTAAGTCCCAGCATACAACTCAAAAGTTAAGTGCCATACTTTCAGCGTGAAAAGTTATGAAGCCTCAAATTCATCTGTGGTTTGTCTGACTGTAGCCTTGAATCCAAATCGCTAAAGCTTTATGATCACCACTGAACTTCACATTTGTTTCTCAAATAAATGTTTAGAGAGTTACTTTAGTAGTTAAGCATTTTTTTAAAAAATCACTACGTTGTGAAACCTGCATTCTCAATCCCTGCACTTTATCCCTAATTTCTAAAGTCAAGACTTCACTTAAACATAAATGATTTCAGCTTCAATCAAAGATAAAAGAATCAAAAATAAATATATAAGACCAGACAGCACTAACAGCAACCCTGGGCAATTAAAAAAAAAGTTAGATAAGGTTTGGGAACCCTGTAATTCTTTTCCATAATAGTCTATAGGACCTTTTAATAAACTTACAGGAACAACCATATGCATATATTTTTAAAACTCGTATGTGTAATGTTGCAGCTAAATGTACTTTAGTTTTCTGTCCAGACAGAAAACAGTCTGGACAAAAACATTGCAACTATGCTAAAATAAAAGGCATATTTACTCACCTACAACCTGGATGATTTCAGCCAGTAAAACTCCATCGGTCACATCTTGCTGCAGATCTTTTATCAAGCGTTTATGGCCAGATTTTGCTAGATAATGATTGGCCCAATCGGTGTAAATCTGTAGAAAGGAAAAGGAGAGCCAAAGTTAGGCCCTTTTCTGTTTAAATCATTAATTTCTCCCTTAAAATTAATGAAAGCCAGCCTCAACTTTGGCAGCCTCTGGAACAAGTGGGACAAAGCGTTTCCCTTCTTTTCCCAAACCAGTTTGAAGCAAAGTTAGCAACATTAAAATTCAAGGCATTGTGCTGATCAAGTATTCAGCTTATTATACCGGGGCTTTCTTGTATAGAGAAATTTGACATCAGAGCAGGAAGAAAATAAAGAAAGCTTCTAAACATGCTACAGTCTGAATTAATAAGTTATCAGACATGGAACTAAACAGTCTGCATAAGAGGCTGGACTGGATTTCTCTACTGAGTTGACATTCTCCTTTTGTGTCCTTATCGAGAAGCCATACCGATACTGAAATGTATGACTGTGCACATGTTTACGCCAAGTTTCGTAAAAGTAAATAATTACGGTATTTTAAATGGATACATTCTTTTAAATTGCAGTTAACCAGATATGTAAATTACATTAGCACTACCACATAGCACCGGGCTGTCAACGGTTATAAAAGGGCTATTCAGGATAAGGTTTGTAATATGCAAAGTGTGTTTTCCCCCCCAAACAGCTTAAAAGGTCTATGAGTCTTGACAATTTCTCCTTTATTTCCAGTATTTTCAGAGGAGATGTACACATATACAAGGTTGCATATACACAAAAAAATGTACATGGGTATCTGATTTCTATTTGAAATAATTATGTTCCAACTTGATTAACTAAACATAAAACAAGGTTCTTAGAAACAACTAACTGAAGCTAAAACCATTAACCTTGCATCCCAGAAAGCACTGATGCACTTAAAATATACATTGGCCTTTGGAATGCAAAACTTTACATCTACTTCTGAGATTATAAAAGACAGATATCTTCATACAAGCAATTTGAAAGTAAGCCCTACTGTAAGCAATGGAAAGTGCTTCGAAATAAAAAAGATTCATAAGAGGCGGCTGTTTATGTCCTTATCCAGAGAATTTTCTTTCATCACCATTCATTTTAGCGTGAGCTCAGCCAATACAAGCTATACGTGGTGCAGTGGTTAGAATGCAGTATTGCAGTCTAACTCTGCCCACAGCCTGGAGTTCGATCTTGACAAGCTTGAGGTTGACTCAGCCTTCCATTCTTTTGAGATCGATATAATGAGGACCCAGATTTTGGAGGGCAGTATGCTGGCATTGTAAACCTCCTAGAGCAGGCATGTCAAACTCATGACATCACGTGACATTGCACGACATATCGGAACTTTTTTCCCATTGTGGGCAATGTGGTGGGCGTGGTTTTGGCGTGATGCATCCGGCCCGCGGGCCGGCAGTTTGACATGCCTTTCCTAGAGAGTGCTGAAAAGCGCTATGGACTGGTATATAAGTCTAAGCACTATTGCTACTGCTATTTTGAAAAGTGTGTTGTAAGAGTTAGATGAACAGTGTTTTCAGTTGTGTTTTCACTATATTCAGTTAATATTTATTATTTGTTAGATTTACACCCCACTTGTTCTCGAAATACTCAAGTTAATGTACATAGGACCTACCTCTCTAATTTTTATATTATATCTCATTACTCATTATATATTTTCCTTGTACTCTGCTGAACACTTAATTACACAGTTCTGTCTTATATCTAAGAATATTTACCCATATAGTAAGTCTGTATTACTTTTATCCTTCTAATCTGGTCCATTACCTTCTCTTATTGGTATCATTATTATGATTTATATTACTTTGACATATGATTATTATTACTTTGTTGTTTTGCATGCATGCTGAGAGTTTGTGCACCAGAGACAAATTCCTTGCGTTTCTATCACACATGGCAAATATTCTATTCTGTTCTGTTCTGTTCTGCTCTGCTCTGCTCTGCTCTACTCTGTTCTCATTGTGTGACACATCACTTTTACATCAATTTTTATCATCATAGTTGAAAAAAAATTGTAAGGAGCACTTTCACCATCTAGTTAAAAATCTCAGAACAGTAAATGCATAAGTGGCCGATTACTTTGCTTGGCCAAAGCAGAAGAATGAAAGAAGCAAGATTAGTGATAACACATGATAAACAGCTATGTTCTAGAAATAAGGTGTGGAAAATAAGCTGTTTCCTGACATCTTTGAATATCAAAGATGTCATTGCTACAATCCACTTGCTGAAAGGAACTTTACCATATGTTTATTTGAATCTGATAAAATTATCTGTGCTGGGAGAAAAATATACATCCTGCATTTTTATTTTCTAGCTCAGTATTATGAATACTAAATTAGCCAGGTCATTTCTCATTTTTAATTTCTCGCTTTATATTTATTGTTAGCTTCCTTAGTATACACTATACATCAAACCAATTATGGTACACAAACAGAAGGCTCCTTGCTGCCAGGCATTGTAACTTAAGCTTTCCTCCATTTTGCTTTTCACACTTAGGAGATTCAACAGTATAAGTTCCAACTCAGTTGTTTGAGATGGGAACTAGTGATAGCATACTGTGATTTCCAATATTCCCTCTTCCTCTAATTAATGAATCAAAAGCTATCAAATATTTCAAGGGACTGAAAAGATTAAAAAAGCAGCCGAAGATTGTAACAAACTGAGGAAATTTGTTATGTTGGTTTTCCTGAATATTTTCCTTCTTGAAACTGTGTATTTATTTCTGAGCAAAAATACAATCATTTACTCATCAGCATATGAAGTTGCTGTATAATGAATGACATTGTTGGTTTGTATCTATAGAAACTATCATCTCTCAGCTGGCAATGCTCCCTTAGGGTTCTCAGGCAGAAGTTTTCCAGCAGTAGTAGCAGAGGATTTTCTAATACAACATGTGCCGTACTAGTTATGACAAAAGCAGTTCCCATTTACAGCTTGCCTCCCCATAGTTTCTTTCTTCAAGGGCTATCTCCATCACAGTCAGACTCTGATGATGGAATCATCCTCATTTAGGTTAGCAAGCACTTTGAGAGAAGGGTGATAATTTGTCAATGGGAGGGAGGTAAAGGTCAACACCTCCCACAGACAGTGTTAAAAACTAGAATCTGTAGAAAAGCAGGCTGAGCTGGAGGCGGGGTTAAAGGTGTCATTACTTTGGAATCATTGCACAGTCACAAGAGACCAAAATCTATTTCCCTCCTGTGAATTCCATTGACCTTATCTAGTACTGATTTAGCTTTGACCATTAGCTGATTAGATTCTTATGTATAAGTGACAAAAATAAAGTTTTCTGTGCTTTGAACTGAAGCACATGCTTCTGGTTATTTACGTGTGAGAGAATTGTATCCAGAAGTCCAGCTGGTTTGGTCCACTCTGTAAGCACTGGTGGTTATTTTTTTAAAAAAAAAAATTGGATAACTAAGTTATCCTAACTAGTAGAGAAGATAACCGTGTACATTTTTGTCAGGATGTGGCAGGCAACTTGTTTAAAAAGAGTAAAACAAGAACAGCAGCAGAAGCCCAACTAAAGGCAATGACAACCCAGAAGTGCCAGGAACTAAGTGTAGGGAGAAGTACCAGTGCCTAGAAAGATAAATAAGAGGAGGGGGGAATGGCCTGGTATGGGAAACCATCTCTCTGCACTTTGGTCTTATTGGCCATCCCACTTACATGCTGATTAACTGGTTGTTTCATTTAGAACAGATGTCCCCAACCTTTTGGGCACAAGGGACCGGTTTTGTGGAGAGAGGTTTTTCCGCAGACCCGAGGGGGCATGGTTTCATGTACTATCTGCATCCCGTGGATGGGCTTTGCTTGTTTGAGCAGACCGGTTTCTTTCTTTTTTCTTTTTATAAGACGTTTTATTAGTTTTTCAATTTTACAGCCAAGTATTTAGGAAGCAGCGCGGTGATAGGGTAGTCAATAGTCCAATAACAAAATATTTCATACATATCTCAGATTACATCATTAAAAGCTCCCTCTCTATTTCCCTTAATTATTGTATCAAATTCAAGTTAATACATTTCTAATTATAGCTCAGTTGTTCAATACATTTATCAATATAATTTTGCTTACACATATCCATGCCCTGTTTTTAAATTTTACCTAATTCCAATTACCGTATTCCAATTTGGCCTTTAATAACCATAATGTTTAAACTTCAGGTAACCCAAATTTCCCTAATTTCATTACAGAGTAGTTATCATGTCTAAAATAGACATATTATTCAGATAGTTACATTTTTAAAAGTATATTCTATTTCTCGTCCTAGGAGCTCATCATTTACTAATAAACTGTCTTTTATTGTCACAATATTACATTTCCATATTACATTTCCATATTACATTTCATATTACATATTACATTTCAAAACTATAGTCTAATAGCTAATATTACATTTCAAAACTTTATTACATTTCAAAACTATAGTCTAATAGCTAATTTCCATATTACATTTCAAAACTATAGTCTAATAGCTAATTTTCCATATTACATTTCAAAACTATAGTCTAATAGCTAATTTTCATTTCCTTTATAAGTCTAAGTCCTGGATATTAGATCAATCAATATCTCTAAAAATCTCCTTAGTGCATTAGATAAGATTTTAAGCTGTTCCATCATCAATCAGCAATAAAGAGAAAGAGGAAAAGGAAAATCCCATTTTTGAATCTAACTCTAGCTTTCTTTTTGTGCCAAGCAAGTTTTCATACCAGTACCCTCAAATCCTCAAGTGGGTCTCCCTTCATTCCTACACATGTTGTTTGAATCCAGGGAGACCATCCAGTTATCAATTTTTCAAAGGAACTGACAGACCGGTTTCTGGCATGTCGTGGACCAGTGCTTGTCCACGGACCGGGATTTGGGGACTCCTGATTTAGAAGACTCTCCTACTTGTATGTCATGGTTGTGACTGATTTTGTATTAATACATCCATATTTTTAAATGGTAAAAATAATATTTAAGGGCTAGAAAAGTGCTGCAAGATTATAACAGTTGCATCTCATAGTTGCATGAAGATTATTTTATATAGAGACTTTCACATTCATTTTTCATACTTTAGATGTGAATTCAGGGTGTGACACATCAACACTGCTTTTGCAAATATAACCCAGCATTTTTCAGTTCATTGCTGAAACACTAAAGATGAGCAACCTAGAGTTTGACAGATGTTTTCATAAAATTAATACAAACAGAACATAGCCTGCAAGAAGGAAAAATAAGACCTAAGGAAGTATCTCTTTTCTAAAATTAGGAAGCTTAAAAACAACACAGTGAGGAAAATATGCAACTCTACTTATCAAAAGTGTCGTGTTGTCAAAAGCTTTGACAATCCAACGCCCATAGTTTGTGAACCCAGACTATGAGGGATTAATTAATTTATTCATCAGACAAAAAGAATTCTATCTTGTGTGGAAACGTTCCCATTGAAATTGGGTTACCAAGTAAGAATATTTATTTATCCTTGGCTTCGTAACCTAACAAACTCATTCATTTGAGATAAAATTTATTTGATCTAAAATTTCAGCTAGAATGACTTGATAAATAGGAAATAAATCTGATGATATATATATAACATAACAACATAATATATATGTGTGTTACTATTGAGATCTAAATTGTTATGAAAAATGACAAACCAAATAATTCAATACGGCAAGGAGTACTGCTAGTGTACAAAACATAGCTGTATGCATTCAAATCCTACTCATGCAATGGACTACAAGCAAATTTAAACATGCACCTCATTTTATGCACATCTTATCCTTAAACAGCTCTCCAGCTGGCTTCCAGTAAATTTTCAAGGGATGCTTATAAGCCAATATTGTTATTTTGTTAAAATTCTTAACAGTAATGTAAAGATCACAAAACAAAGCAAGCAACTAAAATAGAATAATTCATCTTAAACAGCAGTATTTAGTGTTGAGAGTAACATATATAGAGGGATAGTGCATAGGTAACAATCTCAGTTCTTCAACCTATGAGTTCACATTTGGGGTGAAAAGGCTATTCTTATCTATGGAATTTAACAACTGCCAGATTATAATAGAGAAGACCCCTGGAAAAAAAAATGCAACCATGCCACGAGGAGAGAAGCAGGCATATCTTTTCTGTTTTCTGATCTTCACTTTTTGAGGACCTGCCAGTGTGACAATAACTAGCCATCCACTCTCTGTATTGGTTTTGGCAGTAATATCAGGAAGCCACAATGTCAACCTTATGGAAGGTCTTCCAAAACATTGATATGCCCACAACTGNTCCATGCTATAGAGAATATTCACACCGATAATAGCTTATTCCATTTTCTGAGGGAAATCCTAGTTTCCTACATATCACTTTGATATGGCTTCATCTTGCCTCAGTGAAAGGTTGGTCCTGAGATGTGGGCTCTGATATGAAGACATGTCCTCAGCAAGTAGTAAGATAAGCCATCTGGCATTGGCAATAGGAAGGTATGTGGACAAAATGTTAAAGCATTAATAGACTATATTGTGCTCATGACAACATCTACATAAAGTCAGGTATACTTTGACCCTTAAAAACAACAAAGGCAGCAGAAAAGTTATTTTAAAAACTCTTAGAAAACTTTGTGTTCACACACAACAGCTATCTCTAACATGCCAAGTTTCCTCACTACACTTGTTTCATTGTCTGTTAATTTACAAAACATATATCTTTCTGCTATTCCTCTGAACCTACAATTTTAAAAATGAATCTGTCTCTGATGATATTGCTTAGGGAGACACTACAGCAACAGCTGAGTGGTATATTTTTGGTTTCAAACATCATAATTAGAACTGGCCAAAGAGTATGTTACTTCTTACTAGCTTTTGAAACCAGTCAGAAGAAAAATCCCCCTCCGCATACTTATAGACAATCCATAAGCTAAAATGCCATGCGTGTGATCTTGTTATCCAAAACCACCAGGGATTTTTGATATTCACACATATTTAAACTTAGCATCAGCAAGCTGAGGTGAACCTCACAAGAACATGCACAGTTGCTGCTTGTCACAACCCAACCAAGTGCAAAATAAGAATTAAAGGTATTTTTCCCACCATAGTTACTATTTTTGTTTGTTTTTTCTTAATTAATTTTAATTAATGCATTTCAAATTAAGTAAAATACCTTGTACAAGTGCTGTAATGATTCAAAGATAAAAGTTAGCATCTTTTAGACATTTAAAAGTTAGCAACTGTGGACAAATAAAAAAAAAATCAAGGTAATGTTTTATTAGCTAAATTGTAGCCACATATTTCTATGGGTTAAAAGAGATTTCTGGGTATATAGTTTATACTAACATTTGATGCATTCATTTCAACCATTCATATTGATGGTCTCTTACAAAACTAGTAATTACTCTAGCACATCATAACCTATCTCCAATAAAACAGGAACCTTTTAATGTAATCATATCACCCCAGAAAGCATATTTCCCTTCCCCTCAAAATTCTTCCATATTGACATTTTTAACACAAATTTTGACTTTTCTATGTTTCTAAATCTTGCAATATTTTCTATTTTACAGCTTGCATTCATTGTATAATAAGTATAATTCAAAAGTATTGGTAATATTTAAGTAAAAAAAATAGATATGTACATCTAAGTGTATAGTTACCAAACACGCAAAACATTTATAAAGATTGTTATTGAAATATAGAAATAGCTGAAGCAAACATATTAGATCAATAACAGAAAAATACTAACTTGAATAATAACCTTGATCTTTAACAGCCTTATATATTATGTATTTATATACATTTTAAATGCTGTTCTAGCCTTAACTATCACACTGTAAACAAAGGAAGCATCTGTAAAATCAAATACCAAAAGCCATACAGCTGAGTTGCAAACTCTAAGACCAATCAACTGTGTAGATAATAGCACTGCACTAATCAATAAGAAAACATAATTGGCTTACTCTTTTATACTGATCATAGGAACTTTTACTTCTTTCATAAGCTGGAATCCGGAAATTCATATTTATTGGCATAATCTCTAAAATGAAGATAGAGAAGACTTTGGCGATACAGCTTGACTCTTCTCTGTCAGATGAAACACAGCAGAGGGCAAAGTATGCTCCAGCACGTGAACCTTGGTAGTTAATTTTAGTGGAGGTCACCATTCACTCTGGTTAGATCTTCTTACACAAGATAAGGAATGCCTTGCTACTTTTGCACACCCACCAAATGCAAGCCCCATATGACCCCCAATACATCTGGTTACTTCCTTTTCTTTCCAGTCTGCTTCAAGTATAACCCTGAGCCCTTGTTAAAGTTCACAAAACATCAACTGTTTTGAGGGGAGAAAAGTATACCTAGGAAAGTAATTATTTCATACCTTCAATTACAACAAAAGTATAAAATGACAGAAACACCAAATGTTATGTAAAGGATATGTTTATTAATTCAATTTCTATTTTAACTTTCATCTCAGAGCTCAAGGCTTTGCATATGGGAGTCTCCTTTCATTTTTGCTTGACAGGTATCATCCTACCAGATTGATTGGGATGAGGGATAATGACCAAGGTTGTCTAAGCTCTGTGATCAATTAGAATAGTTTAATGTGACCTCTTCAATTCTAGTCTAACTTCTTAATCAAAAGTCCACAATGGGGACTACCAAGTTTATTTTGTTTCAGTATAGTAAGCTAGATTTCTTCAGTAATAGATTTTTTACATTTCCATCTTTAAATCTGTTTTGTCCTTATTTCCTAAACGCATAGCACCTTGCTTTACTCTGCAGTACTCATCCCACACTTGAAACTATCAGCAGAACAGCACAACTTTCTTGTTTACCCACTGAGTGTTCCCCAGTGGCAGGAGAGTGATGGTGATTAACACTAAGTGGCCACTTCAGTTGGTGATAGCCAGCATATATTGTGTCTTCTATAAAATGCACAGTGTATTTTGAACTTTGGTGTTGGAGAGAATAATCAGAAAATAACACCAGATAAACTACCCAGGAAGAAACAATATCCTAATCAAGAACCATCAAGTAAGAAACCACACAAAAGCTAAGATTGCACTACACATGAACTATGAAAGGAATCCATTCTCTCATGTACTGATGTTACCTTGACTAATTATGAAATATCTGCCGGAAAGCATCAATTTCAGAGAACGCAAGACCCCAACTGCCCAAGACTTTTGTTCTCCAGAAATTGATGTTACTTGGCATCTGCCTCAGCACTAGGCATTCTCTGAGGCAATATAGTGGTACCTTGATACTCATCATTAATTGGTTCTGGGAAGTGTGACCAAAAATGATGAGTACCAAACAAATTTTTCCCCTAAGGAATAATATAGCGAGTCACAAGGCAGCCAACATTGACAAATTCTAGCTTGTGCATTGAATACCAAATAAACAATGAGTACTGGGACAAAATTTTCATGTCAAAATGCATTGAGTAACAAATTCAATGAGTTTCAAAGAATCACATGATAATGTTAAATGGTTGTGATCTTATGGGGCCTCGTTACTAGCCATTCAAGGACACAAGAGACAGGTCAGATACAACTCTCATGCATAATCTATTCTTAGAGTAAAATAATGAAAGGTTACTAACTAGGAGAATGAAAATATCCATCTATATTTTAAAAATGTCACTCTTTCTAGTCTGATATCTTCCAAAGATGTTGGATTATGAGACCCATCAAATGCAAGTTTTAGCAGAGAAGTCTTTCAATCCCAACATGACAAGTTATGGATATAGCAATAGCACTTAGACTTATATACCGCTTCACAGTGCTTTACAGCTCTCTCTAAGTAGTTTACAGAGTTAGCATATTGCCCCCAACAATCTGGCTCCTCAGAAGGATGGAAGTATGAGTCAACCTTGAGCCGGTGAGATTCGAACTGCCACACTGCTGGCAGCCAGGAGTCAGCAGAAGTAGCCTGCAGTACTGCATTCTAACCATTGCACCACCAGGGCTCATATAACCCAGGAGTCTCCAATCCCTGGACCATGGACCGGCACCGGGCCGTGCAAACAAGTGAAGCCCCATCCACTGGATGCAGGCAGCACACGAAACCACATCCCCTCTGTCCATGGAAAAATCTTTCTCCACAGAACTGGTCCCTGGTGCCCAAAAGGTTGGGGGCCTCTGATATAACCCATTTTTCATGATAAATGGGGATGTTAAAGAAATTCTTCAAAATTTATCAAAATATAGATGTTCGCACTGAAGCATTTCTATTAATCATTTAAGATTTTTGGAAGTGAAGGCCAACACCTTGCTTTAAGTCTGGAAGGTAATAAGGTGTTGGGAAAGAGTTTGAAGCCTTTCTAAAATGTAACCCAAGAAACCCATTTGATTAAAGCAGTGGTTCTCAACCTTTTTAATGCCGCGACCCCCAACCGGTCGTAAGTTGAGGACTAAACCGATCATAAGTCGAGGACTAAACCGGTCATAAGTCGAGGACTACCCAACCGGTCATAAGTCGAGGACTTTCCCTGCCCGGGAGTGCCGCGCATGCGTGGTTCCACCCCCTGCGCCAGCCAAGGCGTAGCTGGCAAGCGGCAGAAACGGAGAAGGCCGACCACCAGCTGGCACAGCCCAAGGGAGGTAAGGCACCCATCGGAAAAGGGAAAAAAATGGCAGACAGCCTTGCTTGGCAACCCCCGTGAAATGGTCAATCGACCCCAAATGGGGTCGCGACCCATACGTTGAGAACCGCTGGATTAAAGTGAGCTGTTCAGTTCCAAATCAGGCTTCAAAAATCTCATACATGCCATCCAAAAGTTCATAAGAGGAAGTCTATCATCTTCGATATTACAATGTTCATTGTCATCTGTGAAACATCAAGTATGCTTTCAGTTCAGATCAACTTTGAGAACTATCTTGGCCACAGTAGTTTGCCACTGCTTTCCTCTGGGATGTTTTTATTTTTACAATAATTTTTTTTAAGTTATAGTCCTGGAATTCCCTGGAAATCTCCCACCTAAACAACAAAGAGGACCAAGCCTACTTAATGTCCTAACCAACCTGCAATTGGTCAGGTGGTACTACCTGAAACGTGAAAGTAAGAATGCAATTCCTCAAAATTGTATTGCATGTAATCACTGTGATGATAACAGCAAAGTTGAATCCTTCTGTGTGTGCTTATATATGGTACAGGCCATAAGTGTTTGGTTATACTTACAAAACTAGGTTAATGAAAAGCAAGGGATGACTAAATGTTACATAATGACATACATTTAATGATTGAAACAAAACCCTCTACCAGATATAAGTGGCATCAGTTCTACTGATGCAGTTACATTTTTTACGCTTTGTATCCATTAGATACATAATTTGATACATGTTGTGTGTTTCTTAAGCTTACATCAAAGAACAATGTTGCAGTCATAAATCTTTTCAGATTTAGCTTGTATTAGGTGTGTCAAACAGTTTTAAAGCAACAAAGTGCTAAATGAATTCCAAAAGATATAAAAGAAGTAATCAAATCAGTTTGTCTTTGGCCATCTGTTTCAGAGATGTCAATTAAATTAAAACAAATCATCTACCAATTGATAACTTTCTAAATTAGTTGTCGATTGTGACCCTGTTCTCAGCTGAGCTGTCCTAGCTTCTGTACAGAGATATCTAAATGCAATAAATATCTAACAGACTTCTCAATTACAAACTGATGTGTTTTCAACACAACAGTGAGTGGCTAGAAAAGAATTAAAGCCGTGAACAAAGTTAGTAAGTTTTCCACGTTTGGCAAATGTTCCCCAAATCATATTGTGAGCCGAGGCTGGGAAAAGCTTCTCAAACTATATCCATTCATGAATAAGTCAATTATTTTACTTGTTTATTTCCTTTCAAAGAACAGTAGTGACAATAGCTTGCAACAGAATAATGTGAGAAACGTGAGAAGAAATTGTTTATTTTAGGAAATAAACTGAAAAAGAAAGGTGTAAAAAAACTAAAGTGTTGGATGACTATTTCTGAGGGGGTCCTGCAGAAGAACACAACTAGTTGTGCACCATTCTGTTTGAAGTGCTATCAATTTTTTAAAAAAACAAACCCACATACTGTACTTGCTTTGCCCTATTTTCTGTTAGAAAAAGATAAATTTATTCTAGATCATACAAGTTTTTCTCTTTTATTATAACATAATATGTTTTCATTGTGTTCTTCCTTGCATAACTATCAGGAACAGACTGGATTTTTTCTCAAAAAATCTAGGTTTCAGTTGTCAGAATAAAAATGGTATCTGGGAGCTTTCAGAACAGATACACATATGTTAGATGTGTGTCAATATGCAAAATAGATCAACATACAGTAGTTGCCTGTATTTCTGGACATGCTTTGAGGAATTAGAGCTTTCCAGGGAAGTTCCTGCACTTAAATACTCTTATGGAACAAAGGAAAGGAAAGCCTACATGTTTTCAAAACACAGGTTCCAGATTATCTCTCTCTCTCCAACAATCCTCTTTGCAGGAATTTTGTACGTTGAAGCCAAAAAGTAGCTAGTTTAGCAAGGTTGATTGAATTGACTTGGAATTTGCTATGATATGTCTATGGAGATTTTCAGTCATCCAGGTCATAGTTATCCCAAAGATGCTTTTTCATGAGGGAACTGGACGTTGTTTTTCTTTGAAGACGTTTCGCTTCTTATCCAAGAAGCTTCTTCAGCTCTGACTGGATGGTGGGGAATGAAAGGATTTATATTCCTTGCTATGATAGTTTTCATTCTCTTCTTTTGTATTCCACCTTTCCCAATTAAACCCCCCCTTTATAGCTAGAGATTTATTTTCATAAGGGAATTTCTCATTAAAACCTTCCACATATCTGCCTCTGACGTTACATATGTCTGGATTTTAGGCAAGAAAATCCAAAACATGTTATAATTTGTTTTTGTCTTAAAACTGGCTGGATTGAGAGGACCTTATTAGGAAGGCTAAGAATTTCCTAGCTGGACAGATGGAGAAGTTTCAGAAAGTTCAGTCTGATAGATAGCAGCTTTAAGTCTGAAATAACTGGCCTTCCCAAAGGAGACAAAAACTACAAATTATCTCTATACCACAGTCTGAAGTTTATGTATTACACAC